CCCAGTGCGCAGCTGTTCCACAGGGACACACACACACTGCTGTGTGTGTGCACACTGCTGTGTGTGTGTGTCCCTGTGGAACAGCTGCGCACTGGGGTGTGTGTGTGTGTGCACTGTGTGTGTGCACACTGCTGTGTGTGTGCACACTGGAATGTGTGTGTCCCTGTGGAACAGCTGTGCACTGGGGTGTGTGTGTGCACTGGGGTGTGTGTGTGCACTGTGTGTGTGCACACTGGGGTGTGTGTGAGCACACTGCTGTGTGTGTGTGTCCCTGTGGAACAGCTGCACACTTGGGGGTGTGTGTGTGCACTGTGTGTGTGCACTGGGGTGTGTGTGCACACTGGAATGTGTGTCCCTGTGGAACAGCTGCACACTGGGGTGTGTGTGTGCACTGTGTGTGTGCACACTGGGGTGTGTGAGCACACTGCTCTGTGTGTGTGTCCCTGTGGAACAGCTGTGTTGTCCCTGCTGGAGGCAGGTTTCCTGTTGTTTCCCTGCAGTCTGGGATGGTTTATTGTCTGCTCCCTCCCCATCCCCTCCCTTCCCCTGCCGTCCTCCACTCCTCCGGGCAGGAGTGTGCGCTCAGGCTGGCCGTGGGGCGCAGCTCTCCCGTCCCTGCAGCAGCCTGCTGTGGGGCAGGAGGCAGGAATGCTGGATCCCAAACCAGAATCGCTGGTGTTCCCTGGATGGGGGCTGAATTCCCCCGTGCTGTCCCTCAGGAGGGAGTCCCGGAGGAGACCGATGACTTCGGCGAGTTCCGGATGCGCGTCTCGGACCTGGTGAAGGACCTGATCTTCCTGGTGGGCTCCGTGGAGTGTTTTGCTCAGGTGGGTGTGTGGCAGTGCGGTGAGGTGCCAGGGGAGGTCACCCAGCCCTGCTGGCCTCTGGGACTGGAGGAGCTCACACACGTCTGGTGTGGTGGGAGCAGCAGCAGTGGGGGCATCAGGAGGTTTCTGACATTGTGGGGAAAGCTGCGGTGGTCCCACAGTGTCAGGGTGGCCTGTGGAGTGTGGGCTTCCTGCAGACCCCCAGCTGGGGCAGGAGTTGGGGGTGAGACGGGTGAGGAGTGGGGGTTTGGGGATGGGAGGTGTCAGGGACAGGCCCTGGGGGCAGGGTTGGTGACGGGGGCCCCTTGGTGACCGTCCTGTCCTGCAGCTCTACGCGACGCTCAAAGATGGGAACCCGCCCTGGGAGGTGACGGAAGCCGTGCTCTTCATCATGGCCTCCATCGCCAAGAGCGTCGACCAGTGAGTGCTGCCCGTGTCCAGGGGACCTGGGGGGCCAGGGCTGCTCCTGGGTGACACAAACACCACAAACACCCCAAGGACATTCCCAGCCCTGGGAGTGCCCAAGGCCAGCTTGGACCAGGCTTGGAACAACCTGGGACATGGGAGGTGTCCCTGCCCATGGCAGGGGTGGCACTGGAGGGGCTCTGAGGTCAGTTCTCACCCAAACCATCCACTGGGGATCCTTCCACATCCAGGTGGAGTTCTCCTAGGAATCTTTAGGGAAGGTTAAGTCACTGGAAGTGTGTTTGCCCCTGTCTTAGTGACAGTGGAGACATGGACAGGTGACATCCAGGGTGGTGAGCCCACAGCGAGTCCTGTGCACTGCCAGCAGTGGGACAACCCAGCTGACCTTCCCTGGGCTTGGAATGCTGTCCCTCCCACCCCTGGGACACTGTCATCCCCATCCCTCCCCTCCCTGTGAGGCTGGGAATCCCATCCCCCTGCTCCCAGGCGCCTGGAGGGGTCACCTCAGTCCCTTCACACTCACCAGCTCCTGGTGTCCGTGTTGAGGCTGCTCCTGCGTGTTTTCCCAGTGTTTTGTTCCCAGGAGCGCTGGCTGGAAGCTCTGGGAGCTCTGTCCCCACCAGCCCGGCCCGGGAGGCTCCAGCCCGGGGTCGCCCCATCACACCCTCCCACCCCGGAGCAGGCGCTTCCAGAAAAGGAACCCCCCGGTTCTTGTGTCCTCTGCCAGCGGTGGGGCTGTCCCTGGAGGGGTTCAGTGTTCCCTGTCTGCTCCCTGCCATGGCACTGCTGTCCGTGGGGCTGAGCCCCCTCCTCACAGGGACTCCTGTCTCATTCCGTGGGTCCTGTCCGTGGGGCTGAGCCCCCTCCTCACAGGGACTCCTGTCTCATTCCGTGGGTCCTGTCCGTGGGGCTGAGCCCCCTCCTCACAGGGACTCCTGTCTCATTCCACGGGCGTGGGT